GTAGACCCTTTACAGATTTAAATGCTGTATTACTCTTATATGTACGGTCAAGTATGAAGGAGCATTTTAGTTCTTTTCACTGTCAACATTCAAATCTGCAAAAAGTTCCGCTGGCGGAACTGTCGACCCCAGGGGGTTAAGTTCCATATCAGTTACAAAATATTATTGCTTACCTATAAGGCCCTTAATGGGTTAGCTCCTGCGTACCTAACTAGTCTTCTACCACGCTACAATCCATCATGCTCCCTAAGGTCGCAAAACTCTGGACTTTTGGTAGTACCTAGGATAGCAAAGTCCACTAAAGGAGGTAGAGCTTTTTTCGCATTTGGCTCCCAAACTCTGGAATAGGTTCAGACACACTCTCTCTGTTTAAATCTAGATTAAAGACACATCTCTTTGGCCAAGCATTCAAATAATGCATCTTATAATCTTGTACTGCAGTTATATCTGATCAACTGCGCATTATTATTCTTTAGCTTGGGTTAAACAAATCAATTTTGCTTGGTTGGAACAGCAGATACGCTAATTATGTCTCTATTTGTTTCTCTGTTTCTGCCACGGGATTGACATCATATAATAATTGCTGTTAATAGTGTTCATCATCTGTTTGATTACGTCTTTAATTGATTTTTCCATACATTTCTGCCATATGTACATTAACTGACAGTCACCGACTACTGTCGTAAGCGACTACTAAATATTGTAGAAACCTAATTTGCTGTAAAGTTGCTTTGCAACGATTTGTATCGTGAAAAGCGCTATACAACTAAACTTGAATTGAATTGAATATGTCTGTAACTTGATGTGATTACGTTTTTCCCATGACTTGCATTCTCCTGTTACAATAATTAAGAGTTTAATTGCACACAAATTTGATAACGTAAAAAAAAAAAGGAAATTATCATGCTCAAAATGAACCCATTGCATCAGTCAATCCACCTTCACAAGATGTGACTTTTGTAAACGTTAAAGACCACTGTCTGAGGTCAGACCTTTAGTGAGCAATCCTATCACACCACAGTCAGCTCTCTGAGTCAGGAAGAAAACCATCCATTATCGTAGCACGACATTCTTTGCTTCACCTCAGAAGCGGAGGGCGTCATACCCATTCAAAGTGAGGGGGCACGTGCCCCCTCAGATTTTTGAGCCAAGTGGATTTTGAAGATTTGAGAGTGCTTGAACTAGACTGTCAGTGAAAGTGTTCTTTGATAATGTAAATGTTCTTTGCTCTCTTTCTGTACAATGAAAGTGTTATGATTAGTAGCCTAACTTGCAATGTTTTTATTCACATTAAATTTCAATGTTAAATTCACATTAAATATAAACTCAGTAGTATTAAAAATATGTTATGGCATGACACCCATATCTGTGAATTAAGTAAACAGACAGGTTTTATGCATAGTTAATAGATTACATTATTAGGTTACTTTGACCATCGCCCACTATAGATCAACATAATCTAAAGGTGAGAATCAAGATATTTCATGATAATTCAGTTAATGCGTTTGGGAATGTTTCGAATAAAAAGGAAAAAATAAATAAAACACAAGTGCTATTGTTGCTGCTGTGTGTCACATGACAAACCCACCCCCCAACTTGTGCCCCCTCAAAAATAATGAGTGCATGAACGCCCCTGAACTTCACCACTACCTCTCTCACTAAAGAATCTCTCTCATTCCATAAAAACACATCAAGATTTCAGTCAAAACTGCATATGGATGCTCATTCAACGTCTAAGACAATGCAAGTATCAAACATTTAAAACGTCACTGAATAGAGGTTTTAATATAAGCTAAATTAAAAAACTGAAGATTCACTTAGGTAGTGCTCAGCTCACTCTATCATTCTCATGCTCACAGGTTAGCTAACCATAACATGAATTCTACTATATAAGTTAATGTGTACTGCTGATACAAATATTTAGAATTAATCACAATTAATTATAAATATTTTAACCAGCTTTCAGCTAATTACAATAACTTTCAGGGAAAATTTGATTTCTCAATGCATAACCCCTACAAACGTTGTTTGTTATGAAAGAGATGTTATAATTTCTTATTTATTATTTAGAATGCTCTTTTCATTCATCATTTCCTGTTTGATAACTATAAATTATTTTTATAGTTAAAAAAAATGTATAGTTTAAAACATTACTGCAAGTGCAATTCCTGTGTAAATGCATTTGCTGCCTCTGTGCAAAACATGGAAACCTTTTCATGGAAACCAAAACTGGTTACAAATATTTGTCATAATTTCTTCTTTTGTGTCATGATATAAAGTCATACTGGTTTGGAATTCTTGTATGAAACAGTCTCAGTCTCAGAAATTCAAACAATAAATACCGTTTTGTGGCTATTTAATGTGTCGTGACAGATCGTTGTAGGGCCTCAGTTCAAGTGGCATGTGACCCGATCATCTTTTCATATATACTTAAATCATGAAATAAACACGAATGAACATCATAAGTTATTTTATTTAAACCGCAGACAGACATCAATATAAACCATTTTTCAAGTTTAAGCCCCCCCATATTAATCTACTCTCCTGTCTGGTTTGTTTGGCAGACAAAATGGCGGATTCGGCATTATGATTGGTCAGATCGCCTGTCAATCAAGCTCCCTACGAAGGGTCATTTTCATTTCTGGGTGAAATATTCCTTTAATATAGTTTGTTATTGCAAAATTTCAGTTTATTTTGCCTGTGTGCCAGCTTTTCCACTTACTACTATTAATGACAGTTTCACCCCAAAATGAGCAAATGATAAAACCATTAATTTATTAGCTAAATAATTAACATTCCTTTAGTTACTCACCAAACTCAAGGACACCACCATATGTCCTAATTATTTGATGCTTTATATTTTTCTATGAATCTGATACACCAGTGGCAAGACCATGGTGCAAACATGCATATCAAAGTGCCTTTTTTTTTACAGAACTCATTTCACCTCTAGTGAGAATGTGTTTGTGTTACATGAGGTAACAGCAGGGAGGACAGCTCTTACCCTAGGCTGCCAGTTTTCATACTGTTTCTGTAGATTGGCCCCTATCGTCTCCAGGGCTTTCTGTGGACTCATGGACAGAGGGTCTAGAAGATAGGCCAGAGAAAATACAAATTATTACACTATTATTGTATTGTTATATATTATGACAGAGTAATACAAAATATACTAATACAAATTATTTTACAGAGAATGCAGAATTCAGAACCTTCCAGAAGTACAAAAGGCATCCTAGAATAAAACCTGGCACAAACACACACACAAAATCAAATCCGTATGGAATTTTAAATATATTTCTGCACTGCATACACATCATAACTACTGAAATACAAAACAGTGATGTTAATCATGTTTCCTCTAAGGCAAGGGTTCATTTAATTGGCTTATAGCTGAAATCATAAAGGAAAGCCAATGTTTATTAAATCAATCTGACTTAAACAGAAATCAATGCCGACTGCTATGTAAACATTTATTCATCACCATACTTCCAACACATTGCTTGCTTCAGATTTTTTCAGATATATGTAGAGTATTTTCTTCCTTATTGCACAAAATCATGTACATGAAACAATATTTTTTCCACCTTACCATAGCACATAACTGCAACAGATTTATTCAATAAAGAATGTCTGATACATTTCAATTTCAGATCATCTCTGAACATGTAAATGAAGGAAATTACAAAACTTCTGGATGGATGGAGGAACTCACCTATCCAGCACTCTAGTCTGGCGCAGGGTGAAGTCTTGACTACATCAGGAGGGTCCACGCCAACATTGAGACATAAAACTAGAGCCACACTCACTGTTTTCATCTAGAGGAACAAACAGGGGAAAAAGAAAAAGAATTTAAATTACTCAGAAATGTGCTGAAATGAAAAGCAATTATTCATAACAACCTTTATAAAAGCAGAAAAAGAACCACAAAAGAGCAACGGATGAACTTGGATATTGATAGGCCTCAGTATCTGTGTTTGTGCTCTTTTGCATGCAAGCAGCTCATGATCCAGGATATTCAGCATCTCAGAGAAGCTCGGTTCACAGGAAATGCTGTGAACACTGCATCTTTTTGTGCTGTGAATTTACCATGCATTTGGGAACGCAACATGCACTAGGTTCACATTTGCATATTCATATAATTCTAACATTTTTACGAACAGAACTTTAAAGCATTTTATTAGATTTGTAATGAGCAGTGTTTGTAAGCTGGAAACATAAAAGTTTCCCTGCAGTTTTATCCAAAATAAAAACAGAGTTTAAAGCTTGTGAGGAAATTAAAATTAAAGTATAGTTGTAATTTTACTATTGTAAAATATAATATAAAAATGTATTCATTGAACTTATAAAACACATTTTAAACAAGCATTTTAAATGAAAATTTTAGTTTTTCATTAACTACGCATAAACGTTGTTTTTGCAAAAATACAAACATGTACAATCATGTAAAAACATCTCCAGTGCACCAGTGATTATACATAACATACTTTATAAAAAATAAACATTTACTATAGTTTAATTTGACAATAAAAACGTTTTACATTATTCTGGGGCCAATGACGTTCATACCCTCAAGTAAAATGTAGGGATGCACCGATACCGGTATCGGTATCGGGCCCGATACTGGTCTCCTATACTCGCACTCGTACTCGTTAAAATGCCCCGATACCAAACGCCGATACCACACAGCATGTGATCAGCACCATATTCAGACAAAGGAACACAGACAACAGAACAGCAGACAGCAGAAAGGAATTAAGGATGTCTACTACGAAGTATATGTATGCAATGAATATAATGTTAAACATTCAGTATTAACGCCTGTATAGCTGATGTGCGCGAGCTGATAAACAAAGCACGCTGAGTGGATTGAGCGCGCGGCGGCGCAGATGCGCGAGCTTGTCGAGTGAATATATCTTTCTCACAGACATCACTGGAAAGTTTGTAGTTCGGTCGGATACGTCAAAAACAAGTAAAACAACGCACAGACAGAGAGAGAGAGAGCGAGAGAGAGAGCGCGCTCAATTCTTTTGTGTGATCTTTGATGTTCACTCACTTAACACACGCATCATTTGGATTAAAACGAAATTGTAAAAATAAAACCATTCATAGGGGCATTCACTATAAACATAATTTATTTTCAACCTTAGGCATACAC